GTCAAAATTAAAGCAAAAATAGATCCTAAGGATTTGGTCATATTGGAGCCAATAAATGGAAAAACCGGCCGCTCCTTCCCTTTACAGATTCCAAAAGGGAAGCGATTACGCGGAAGAACACCTTACCAGTCATTTACAGGGCCTCTCTTTTGCTTAGGGGATGGCCTTAAATGAAGATATACAGCTATGAATTTGTACCCGGGGTTTTCGGGGTCGGGAAATTGATTGGAGCTATTCATTTTATTGAGTTTGCCAATTGAAATTCGGGTTTAATTGGCCGTTACTTATGGGTGATACCCCCGCAGGCATCAATTAGGGTTTACCTCCGTACTTTACATAAGCAAAAATTTGCATTGATAAGATTGTCTTGCATCAAGTTGGGTTTTACTACAAAACTGAATCTAACTCTCTTTATATATGTTACGTCCGAATCCGAACAGTCGTCAGGTTCCGAACATGACGCTTGATTCTCCCAGCTCCTGTCTCCTATTCTCCTAGATATTATAGGCGCATATCCGAACATAATGGAGATCCTGTTCGGATTTTGAAGTCCGAATCCGCCCAGAATGAATGTATTCGGATTTTGACGTCCGAATCCGCACAGAATGAATGTGTTCGGATTCGGAACATGGCGTCATGTCTGTCTCTCAGTCATGTTCGGAACATGGCGACTGTTCGGATTCGGATTCGAACGTAACATATACAAATTTGCAACTTTTCGGTTATATCTGAAAGGGGATCTCTCCCCGTTTTCAATTTAACATTTCGAGTTAGTCATTTAAATGTAACTTTAATGTTGAAAAATGGGAAGAAATCCCCTATTTTTGTGGTGAGATATAACCGAAATGAGACATGGCGAAAGTATAACTGAAGAGTCCACAAATTTCTTCGCAAACGAATGAAACTCAGTCAAAAGAGAAAGAAGATTATGTAAATTGTATGTATTTTATGTTTCTTTGTATGTAAATTGAGGGTAAAATCCTGATTGATGCCTGCAAGGGCATAGCTCATAAGTACCAATTGGTTTAAACGCTTTTAGATGAATTTGACCATGTCTTCTCAAAGATAATAACTAGATTTTTCAATAAAAAAGACGTTTTCAGGCACCCTTCCCGTTGTGTCCATCAGCGACTATGAAACGCTCAAAGAAACGATGATCAAAGATGGAGAAAAATACGCGGGAAGATGGTTTTTTGCTGACTTTGTGAAAGATTTCAAAGGTACGACTACCAAAATCTTATTAATCTGTCTAATAATTGTCTAATACTTGCCTAATTATCTAAATCATTTTGATTTTAAATTCCAGGTGGAGAATATGGTATAGTGAACTCGGAAGGTGATTTGTGGAGAGATCAAAGAAGGTTTTGGGAAATTTTGACATGACTATTTCGGTTTTAGATTAACATTGCATACTCTACGCGACTTTGGAATGGGCAAAAATATTATGGAAGAAAGGGTAAATTCGTATTTTCACCAAAAATTCTCTACGCTTTTAGGTAATGGTCGAGGTGGATTTCTTGTTGGAGCGAATGACCGCACAAAAGGACATCAGTGTTCAGGTTGTTGAAGTGGCTTTTTAGCATTTTTAAGTCGGTATTATCCAATTCCATTGGGTTGGTGAATTGAAAACTTCGAGGAGCTTTAAGGAGCTTCAAAGGAACTGAATAGGGACTATAAAGGAGCTTTAAAGGAGCTTAAAAGGAACTGAATAGGGACTATCAAGGAGCTTTAAAGGAGCTTTAAAGGAACTGAATAGGGACTATAAAGGAGCTTTAAAGGAGCTTTAAATGAACTGAATAGGGACTATAAAGGAGCTTTAAAGGAGCTGAAAGGAGCTGAAAGGAACTTTTAAGGAACTAAATAGGGACTATAAAGGAGCTTTAAAGGAACTAAATAGGGACTATAAAGGAGCTTTAAAGAAGCTTTAAAGGAGTTTTAAGGGAGCTTTAAAGGAGTTTAAAAGGAACTAAATATGGACTATAAAGGAGCTTTAAAGGAGCTTTAAAGGAGTTTTAAGGGAGCTTTAAGGGAGCTCTAAAGGAGCTTTAAAGGAGCTTTAAAGGAGCTCCTTTATAGTCCCGGCTATTTCGCGGGACTCGCAGATAAAAAAAACAACAGCATTGAACCAGCTGAAAGGGGTTTTGGTTACTTCAACATTTCCTCAAATTATTGCGAAAAAATTATGCATCCAGCTTTTTATTTTTTGGTATTTTCCTTCACTTCTTCCATTGCACTCGACAATCTGCCACCGGGACATATTCGTCATGTCATGCTTCATGAGTTCCTACAAGAGCACAGTGCAGGCTTGGCAGCTGCTAATATTAAAAAGATATATGGGGAGGACTCACCCTCCGAAAGAACGTGTCGAATATGGTTTGCCAAGTTTCGATCTGGGGAAAAACCTTTGAAAGATACAGAGGTCCGTGGAGCGGCACCCCAACTGGATGATTCCAAATTACTCGAACTCATTACCAATGTCCATCGGGTATCATCGCGTGAATTGGGAGAAGAGTTAGGGGTTGATCATGCTACAGTGCTAAGGCACCTTCATACCCTTGGATTTAAATCGAAACTTGGGGCTTGGGTGCCCCATGACCTCAATAACCCCCAGAAGTGGCAGCGCGCCTCGATCAGTGCCGTCTATCTCTCACAATACAAAAGGAAATCTTTTCTCTCTCTAATTGTGACAAGAGATGAGAAATGGGTTTTATCTGTGAACTTTCGGAGGAAGCGGCAATGGGTGGAGCCAGACGAGAAACCCGAGAGTGACCCCAAGCCCGATTTGCACCAGAAGGAGTTTATGCTTTGCGTTTTCTGGGATATGGAGGGAGTGGTGTACTGGGAGTTGCCGGATGGCAACGCAATGAAATTAATGCGTATGCATTAATGCAATGAAATACAGTGAACAGTTGGAAAAGGTGAATGAATCCTAAAGAAGAATAGGCCTCCAAGTAGCCTTGTTTGGGAACTTTTGGCGCATCCCGCATACAGTCCGGACCTCGCCCCTTTTGATTACCATTTATTTCGGACCATGAGTAATGAGCTTGCGGGAGAACACTTCAATTCCGAAGAAGCAGTCAAAAATTGGCTCCAAAAGTTTTTCGATTCAAAACCAAAATCCTACCACGAAAGAGGAATCCGCAAATTGTCTGTAAAATGGGCAGAAGTCGTCAATAGTAATGGAAATTATTTGGAATGAATTGATGGTTTTATGTTGAATAAATTGTAGTTCAAAGTCCCGCAGTTTTCAATTCACCAACCCAATATTAGCCAAATCAATTCATTAAACTATTTGCAATTAGTACATGGACCAGTTGAACAAGTTATTGATTTGGATTTGGCTTGTGGTTCAATTTGAATTAGCCTGGGCTGGTCCGGGCTTAGTCCGTTGGTACAATTAGTTCAGGGTGGACAGGCGTGTTAACTTCGCCTCTTTTTCGGACTGTTTGCCATTGGAAATCTATGAATTTTGACCGGTTTTGTTTGAAGAACGTTGAATTTCCTTTCATTCGACTAGCAATGAAATTTTCTATCGAATGAAAGCAAATTTAACGTTTTTCAAACAAACTCGGTTAAGATATGAGCGAAATTCATAGATTGCCAACGGCAAACGGACCGAAAAAAGGAGCAGAGTAAACACGCCTGTCCACCCTGAACTAATTGTAAGCTAGGCCTAGTTAAGATGTTCAAAATGTGACCTGGATCTGGATCTGACTCCAGTCTGGTTTGTTAGACTCTAAAGTTTGGTTTCAGAACGAAATGGACATCGCCGTCGGGTCGGTGATCAATGGCATTCTCTTCGGATATCGATTTGATGAGGTAGGCTTGCATGGACTATTAGAGCTAGCCGTTTTCTAAAACTTGAACACTATCGTATGCCCTTCTTTGGTTTAAAACCAATTTCTCATTAGAGAAATTCAGAAGCATCAACACGAATTCGCTCTCGTAAAAACATCACTTCGAAAACTCGTCGCCAGCGGCTCGAATCCCCTCTTTTTCGTCGCCAGTATCTCCCGGCTCTTGCGTAGATTTCCGCCATTTCACAATGCTTACCACAATGTTTTGGATGAGAATCAAGTCCTCTTTGGTTTCATTCGAAAGCAAATCGCCGAGAAACGAAAACAAGTTGATTACAACGATGAGGTGAGAAAAGATTGTATCTTGCCTTCCAAATTTTACTTTTTTCCTGAAAAACCTATCTTTTCTAGTACATTCTGGTATCATTTTGATGAGTTTAGTGCATCAGAAAGACGTGTTTCTGTTTTGTACACCAGAAAATCCTGTTTTGAATCCCAAATTTCCAAATTTTGAATCCCAAATTTCCTGTTTTGAAAACACAATGTACACCAGAAAATTACACGATTTTATATTCAAATCTTATTTTTTAAAGTCTTCCGAAGACTTCGTGGAAAGCTATTTGAAAGAATGGGAACGACGAAAGGGAACGCGGCAAGAGGAGTATTTCTTGTGGGTGATTTGGGATTGATTAAAGATTACGAAGTTTTAAGTGAGCGCCAGCTTGAGGCTCTCGTTTTTGATGTTTGGTCAGCTGGTGAGTTGTTTCGAATACTGTAATACCAATTGAGGATTCTGAAACGTGTAAACTTGCTAATTTTCTATTTTATCAACTTTTTGTCAGATTTACAGGCTTAAAATTGACACAAAAAGATAGAGAAAAGTAGAAAGATTAGATAAAAACTAGAGACAGGATTACGATCGTTTTCAAAAGTTTACACGTTTTAGAAAACGATAAAGATCTAGTAAAACTTTATCAACACTAGTTTACTATTAGAAATACTTCAAAGAATACTTCAAAGAAGTACTTAAATACTACAAAATCTAGAGTCAGTCCTGTTCTTGATTCCCTAAACATTCCAGGAATGGAGACCACGTCAAACACTCTCACCTGGGCCATTGTTTACATTTTGAATCACCCAGAAGTCCAACAGAAAATCCATGAAGAGTTGGATCGAGTGATCCAATCAGATAGAAAGATTACAATGGCTGATAAAAACTCGTTGACTTATGTGAATGCTGTTGTTAGTGTGAGTCGAACAATTGTTTCTCAAAAAAAAAATAATGATTCAGGAAGTTCAACGACTCGCGAATCTTCTCCCGCAAAATCTCTTCCGACAAACGACCGAAGAGGTGACGCTGAATGGATACAAAATCCCGGCTGGAACCATTATCGTTCCACAAATCAGCTGTGTGTTGTATGATGAAAAGGTGAGACTGACGGGTTTGATAAAAGAGAAAATACTGTAGTCTTACTATTTCTTTTTAAAACTAGGACTATATTCCGGTTTAGCCCTAGAGCTCTAAAGCCTGCTCTAAAGCCCTAGAGCTGTACAGGGTGGCGCACAATTACCCATACTTAGTTCTGTTTCTCCAGCTTAGCTAAGAGTCAATCAATCGATCGATCGATCGAAAAAAATCGATCTAATTCTTTTTTTATTATCAAGTTGAATATTTCTCCTGCAATGTGTTTTCTGGATTTGATCAGAAGAGTTTCTAAACTTTTTCTAAAGCTAGAGCGCTGCAAAGTTGCGACACTCGTTTCCTGCGGCGGAATCGCGATTTTCTGATTTTTGTAACTATTGGGTTGGTGAATTTAAAACTGCGGGACTTCGAACTAAAATTTATTCAACATAAAACCATGAATTCCTCCCAAATAATTTCCATTATTATTGACGACTTCTGCCCATTTTACAGGCAATTTGCGGATTCCTCTTTCATAGTAGGATTTTGGTTTGTGTGTGAGGCAAGTGTGAGACTCAAAAATGGAGGACTGGAGATGTCCCAGTTTGAGCACTTTCTTCAAAAGAAACCCATTTTGGTGTCAATAGAAAAGTTGTAGAGAATCAAAAATTAGGCTTATAGCCAAATTTCCAAAAGATACACTTAGTAGTTTCGCTTAAAATGCAAGTTTTGTGAAAATTTGGCATTTCTTTTGTGTAAATTTGGCATTAGCCGGTCATTTTAGTAAAAGTGGGTTTTTAAAATGAAGGCTGAATCAAATGCAATTCAGTTTATATCATTTGAAAGATAAATCTTTTCTCAGCAAAATGGCTTTTGAGAGATTTTGAAAAGCTTTGGTTTTTAAACATTTTCAGAGATGCAAAGAAAAGTTGTCAAAATCGACAAAAACAGCGCCGACTTTACAGCTTTTTTTTGACAAGTACAAAGTTGAATGTTTTGCAAAATAAAGCTCTTAGTTTTTCGCATTTTCAATAAAATTTACAATTAAATCCGTTCAGCCGTTTTTTCTGAATTTTGGTTGAAACAAAAGTCCTCAGAGAAAAGATTTTGATCAGATCGCTCTGAATAACTTGAAATTTGTAAAAAACGGCTTGCTGGATTTGACTGGAAACTTTACTAAAAATGCAACAGAGATTGATCTTTCTTTAGCAGAAAGTTAGTGTCAGTTCCCATCAAAAAAGTCGCCAACCGTCGATTCTCGCTAATTTTGCCAACCCCAAAAACGAAAGCTTTTCTAAATTGTCAAAAACGATTTTGCAGAGGAAATATAGATTGTATCAATGGTGTAAATCGTACTTTGGTGCATTCAACATTTGTAAAACCAATTTTTAGTGTCGACTAAATAATCGAACCAAAAGTCCGGTTATTTAGTTAAAAACCTAATAGAATTTATTTTTTGGAAAGTTACAGAAGTACCAAATTTTCTAATTAATCATTTTCTAAAAGGTAGTTTAGAAAACTATCGTTCTGGTCCTGATTCCCTAAACACGTAAGCAATTTTACAAGCCTAAAGTAACAAAAGAAAGGCAACAATAGAATGAGAGGTGCGATAAGCCATTCGACGCAGAATTACACACTGTTTCGAATCTCCTTTCCGTTTTTGCAAAATGATTTTCTGCAATTTTTTCTAGAAACTCTTGTTCAGATCTTCCCCGAACCATACAAATTCAAACCGGAACGTTTCTTGAACAAAGATGGATCATTGAAAGTTTTCCCTGAATTGGTGCCATTCTCCGTAGGGAAACGGCAATGTCCAGGCGAGGGATTGGCACGTGTCGAACTGTATCTCTTTGTTGCCAACATTTTTCAGAAGTTCAGGGTGAGTAGTGTTATTATTAAACCTTATTATTATTATTTATTGTTATTAAACCTACAAATATTATTGTAATTTATAAGTTAAATGCTTAAATTCTAAAGTAGATTAAACGAGTTCAATAAGTCGCTTGACGTTAAATGATCAATTATAAAAGGAATCCGAATCTAAACAAATCAGAACCAGAATTAAAATCAAAATTACAACATTTCTTATTAACCGTTCGTCTATCCACAAATTCTAAACAATTAGAAAAAGTTATCTTCAGATTTCCTAGCTTATTGAAGTCTTTACAAGTCATTTTTTAGTCTAAAACACTTTTTAATAAGCTTTTGTTACAGTGATTTCAATCGAAACGTAGCTTTAAAAAAGAATACAGCTTTTCAAACATACAGGAAAAGAGATTTTTCCATAAATGTTTCATTGAATCCGCTCAAAAACGTGATCTTTCCTAGCTGTCCGCTAAAAAGCTTCCATCCATCGAAAAATCAATGTCGGTCGTCGTGATCGCTAAACCGTTCACTTGTCAAGCCGAGGAACGACATAAATAAAATATATTTATATATATGTCGTAGCCGTTTACGAAATGAAGCCGCACAACAACCAAAAGGGAAATTCCCGGGCAACAAACAAAAATATCCACAATACAAAAAAATTTTTCATAATTAATATATTTTTTTTTAAATTCACCAAAGTACATAGATAATTTTCAGGAAATTTTAGCCCCCAAAAGTTTCGTTAAAAATCCCCTAAAATGACTAAAAAAAATTTTCTCACCACAGCCAAAAACTTGCCTAATAGCTCATTTTGTAGCCAATTTGATGTAGTTTCTTAAAGTAAAGCTATCTAAAACAATTTTTCGTTGAAAGTAGGAGAAAGAGGGCGAGAAACAGATTCAGGGCAATTCTCAAATGTGAAAACAGCGACCGAGTTCAACTGAAGTCGTTCCTCGCCCTCTTTCTCCTAACTTTGAAAACCAAATTTTCAATGTAGCTTTACTTTAAGAAACTACATCAAATTGGCTACAAAATAAGCTATTAGGCAAGTTTTTTGGCTGAGTAGAAAATTTTTTATAGCCATTTTAGGGCATTTTTGAACCTAAACTTTGGGGGCTCAAAAAAATTTTTCTACTGAACCAAATGAGCTAATTTCAAAAATTTATTATAAAATATATGTATTATGAACATTTTTTATGTGGGTGACTTTTTGATTGGATGCCCGGAAATACCCTCATTCGTTAGCGGCTGAATTTCGTAAGCGGCTACGACATATAGAACAAATGAAAGTCAATTTTTATAAACTGTTCACAATGTGAAATATGAGATTGTTACCAATTGCTTTTGCAAAATGTTTCTGATAAAGTTTGGTGATTTTAAGTTTATAAAACACAGAAAAGTACAGACAAAGGTTTTTTTGCAAAAACTCGTTTGTTGCAAATTAGCAGTTCAAACGCCGACAAAGCAAATTAGTGGTTCTTGTTGAGATTACAATATACAAAATCTCGACTGGAACCATTATGTTTTCACAGATCTTCAGTGTTTTGTACGATGACATGGTTAGTTCAGATGCAATTGAGTCGTTTTTTTATAAATACAGCCGAAAACTTGTTCTCTGGTGTGTAGCGATCTCTGGTGTGTAGCTCTGGTGTGTACTTGTTCTCTGGTGTGTAGCAATGTAAACGTTTTCACTGGCGTATTTAGAAAGCTAATAAGAAGAGTTTACTTCAACTTTTAAGCACAATATTCTGGTAAACAAACAACAAATACTTTTGAATTGAGCCAGCCAACAAGTTCTATTTGGCTGACACATTACATAATGATAAATAAAGCATTATCTCAGCAATGCTTTCCAAAATTGACATTTCAGAGTTCTTCAGGCAATTATTGAGAGATGAAAACTATTGAAAACTATCGAAAACTTTGATTCTGCCGAGAGATTCGCATCTCTGAACTTTAAATTATTGGGTTGGTGGAAAAGTCCTTTCCGATTTTTTGGGAGAGTACCTTAAATTTGTCCAATTTTGACGCTCATCCTAAAGCTGAATTCAAGACGGATCGATTGGTAAAAACCGTTTTGAGATATCTCTTTTTACAAGTAAAAGTTTTTACAGCTATTTTAGTAAAGGGCGGCAGTGCCAAAAAATGGTTGTTTTCACGTTTCGTTAGTTTTCCGTGCAGAAACCTAGGCTAAAAATATGTGTTTCGTGATCGGCGTCAAAAATAACCCCTAGGCACGCATTTTCAGAATCTTAGCAAAAAATTTTTGAAAAATATTGTCACCGGTGGAAGTCGAACCAGCGACCCTCAGATCAATAGCCTTTCCGCCGCTTTTCGACACCCGTTTTTGTATGCATTCAACCGAAAACTCAATGCCGCACAGGCTCATCGAGAGATTTGCTAAGATTCTGAAAATGCGTGTCTAGGGGTTATTTTTGACGCTGATCACGAAACATGTTTTTAGCCTAGGTTTCTGCACGGAAAACTCACGAAACGTGAAAACAGTCATTTTTTGGCTCTGCCGCCCTTTACTAAAATAGCTGTAAAAACTTTTAGAAAAGAGATATCTCAAAACGGTTTTTACCAATCGATCCGTCTTGAATTCAGCTTTAGGATGAGCTATAAAACATCAAGATTGGACAAATTTAAGGTACTCTCCCAAAAAATCGGAAAGGACTTTTCCATCAACCCAATACTATAAAAAGCGTAAAATTGTGTTTTTAAACTAAAAATTGAAATTGAAAACAGAAAATAACCTAAAATTTCATATAAATATGAAATTAGAAGAATTGAATAATTGGGCATCGAGTTACAGTCGAAAAACCGATTTTCCATAATTGTGCGCCATCCTGAAGAGAAACACACTTTCTGGTGCGCTGAATTTGTTCCTTTTCATTGGGACACTAAATTATTAGCAAAAAAGAAAGCATTTGATGTGCTAGAAACGTTGTTTTTCCATTTCAAAGCACAAAGTACAAGCAAAAGGCACTTTGAAAAGACTAAAGTCTCTCTGTCAATTAAATTTAACCACTTTCAAACCAATCCATAACTTTTCCCTCAAATCCTTTCCTTTTCTTTTCTTTTCTTTCATTGTTATCCGAAATGACCTCAGTCAATTTTTCATCAAAATGACAAGAAATCTCTCAACAAATTTATCGTTTTTCTTTCTTTTTCGAAAATGATCATCTCATCTCATTTCACTCGTTTTTTTTGGGGAGTTCATATCAAGAGAAATCAAAGAAAATGAGATACGAAAAATTACAGACAAACAGCTAAAACCAGTGGAAAATTTGTTTTGAAAATCAATAAACTTTATTTTACCATTTGATTTGGCGATCTTATTATCAATTTCCCCTTTGTCAAAACAATCTTGTCAAAACAAACATCTTGAGAGAAATTTTGACCTCTTCTTATCTTTGTGAAATATTTCGAGAAACAATACGTGTATTTACGAATCAGAAAATCCGAAAATACCGATTTTACACGAAATGTCGACTCACTTTTGATATTTTTAATCTTTTTGTTCGATCTGGTTTACATTTTAGCCTTGTTTTTACCTGTGTTAATCTTTTTTATGAAGTTACAAGTATACAAGCAAATGAATTTTTAAATTTTGGAGCAAATGGATGTTTAGATCTAATTGGAGATTGTTGTTTGTCTAGTTTCGAAGTGGAAACTAGCCTATTTTGTAGCAAATTTTTCGCTAATTCCGAATATCTAGATCGTTTTTGTATAATGCATTCCAATTTTCGATTTAAACCCGTTTAAAGTTAAACAATAAAAACAGTTTTTAAGCGCTGCGGTATCTGACCGCGCGAGTATCAGGCGATCTTTAGTCCCTCGAAAACGGGTGATCGTGGCCAAGTGGTAAGCGCTGGTTGGTCCTAGTTCGAGCCCGGACCTAAGCAAAACTTTTGCTTTTTGCAGAAAATTCTTGTTAAAGTCATGTGAAATCTTGAAAGCTGACAAATTGACCACAAAAGAGGCGAGGTACACTACTGGACAATGAAATATGATATTTGAAAAAAGATCGTCCCCTTTGCGCGTCTATAACTCCATTGTCTTTACCGTATTTCGAAATATTAATATTACCATTGTGTAGTCCTTGAAAAGAGCTTTCAGAAAATGTATAACACTAATAGTTTAAACTCAAAGACAAGGGAGTTACAGACGCGCGAAAGTGACGATCGTTTTTCAAATATCATACTTCATTGTCCAGTACTGCAGATAACTTCAAAGCTGGTAAATAACAACAATAGTGTTTCTTGACATTGACTAAGACGCCTTTGCATTCGGCCGTTACAAGGATTCTAAACCAGCATTAGGATTGATAGTAAGAAGTTAACGATCCTAGAAATCTAAAAATTTTTTAACTTATTTAATCAGGTACTACTTAAGTGTTGAAAAAAGTCTAGAAGTAGCTCTTACGTAAAAAGCGCTAAATTATGGCAAATCTTTGTGCCTTTTTGCGTAATAGATACTTCTAGACTTGCTTTATGTATAAAAAAATAAAACAGAAGCAAAAAGCATTAAAAAAAAATGATTTGAGTGTGAAAATTTGATTTTTTGTTAGATTTTAGAGAATTTTTTTTGCATATTCATTAGAATTAGAATCATTAATTAATCATTAGAATCATTAATTAATAAGCTAACACCACGTTTAAGCTTAAAAGTAAGCCCTAGAAAATCCATTTTACTACTCTTTACAGTCTTTTTTCGGTTAAAAAGTGATTTCAGTCGATTCTAGAGAGAATTTCCTTCTTTTCATGAAAGATTGGTTTAGATTGGCTAAGAGCCCTGTATCTTAGTCGAGAGGTCAAGGGTTCAATACCGCTTTCCCCTTTTCTACCACTTTTTTCAAGAAATATATACAGAACCGCTTCGAAACGTTATGGGCCTTATTCCAACTAACGAATTCGAAGAAAAAAGTAGAAAAAGACAAGATCTTACCCAATCTAAACCAATCCTGGCTTTGAAAACTAGATCCTGACATCAAATGGTTCCTAAAAAACTCGAATACTCCCAAGTTATCAGATTTTAAACGATTTTATTTATTTGTAAAATCAATTTCGATTTAAATAGCAAAGTTTTCATTTCTATTTAAGCAATCAATGCTTTTTTTTCACTTCTTCGTCAATGCAAATCCCCTTTTGCAAAGGGTTCACTTGACCATTATTTCCCCTCCATTTTTCTAGCTTATGATTGATTTTTTCGTTGAAAACGCCCGCAAATTTCTATATTCAAAACCAAAACATAATGAGTAAGAAATTGTTTTTTTGATTCTATAAAAGGTTTTTAGCGAAATGAATGAAAGAAAAGAGCTCAAATTGGAGAAACGAATCACGAACTTTGATCAGGTTTACGATCGGATATCTCATTATGGTTTGAATGCAAACTCAACTATTCATTTCAGTTTTAGGCAGATATCAAATATTTATGTTTTTCGTTGTTCAATATTTGATGCTCAACTCGGCGGGAAACTATTTATTCACGTCATTCGGAGGACTCTATCGGAGTTGTCGCGATGAGAAAACGAATTTGGTGAGTAAGCAATCATTTTCTTAAGCGCTTTGGGAAATCATCTATTGTTGTTGACTTTTGCAATGGTGTTGATAGAGATTTCGTTCCATGCCTTGAGCTCGTTTCAAGAAGTCAATTGATTTGTGGGCTTTAGCCTTGCTTTCAAGAATCGACCATATTGAGTCAGGGGATTAAGATCGGGCGAGTTTGATGGCCATTCGCCTGGGCATCGTTGACTGATGTCCACGATGATGGAATCTGGGAAGTTGCTGGAGATCCAATCTTGTGTATCAATAGCCATGTGAGATTCGTCTTGTTGAAAAAACCCAATCATTATTGGCACCAAAGTGCAAAGACCAAGTGGACTTCGTCCTTTACGATCTTCATTGAAGCTCTTTGAAACGCTTTTGAGCGCGAAAAACATTCTGTCTCTTTTCCTGTAAGATTCGAGAAATCTCTGCGAGTGTTTTTCCTTGCTGATGAAGAGTAATAATGGCTGAACGCAGCTCTTTCTTAGACTTTACACCTAAAAAACAATCAAAGCATCGAATTAACAAGAAGAAAAAAAGAAAGACAGAAAGCTAAACGTAGTAAGATGCGCGTCACCTTAATTGTGGGACATCTTGTAACGTTGGTGCGCCCTATTGATGCAAAAGCTGATTTTCATTCCTTGGTGAATGATTAGAGCGCTGATTAGATTATTGAACTGCTTAGATTATTGAATTTAGCCCTTCATTCACTCATTTCACCAATTTTTTTGCAAAATAAGGTCGATAAACTTTTGTTGATATTTTTGTTGACCATAATTGTGGGACACCCTGTAGAGCCATTAAATCTTGTATGTAAACCTTGAATGAGTGATCCTTGTAAACGTCCACAAGATTGTACTTCTAGATTATCATAGTAAAAAGTAGATTTGGGTATGTATAACGGTATTGATGCATAGGAAAAAATGGGGGATTTATAAGGGTAAAGTACCATTAGAACCAATCAAGATTTTACTGTCATGCATCCTTCAAACAGTCTTCGAAATTCAAACATACGATTATACAAACAGTGAAAGAATACCACGAACCTGGGCTTTAAAAATCAATATGGTTGACCGGGGCTCCGAAATTAACAACCACTAAAGTCCATCACCACAACATGGCCCTGTGGCCTAATGGATAAGGCGTTGGTCTCCTAAACCAAAGATTGCAGGTTCGAGTCCTGCCAGGGTCGAGGCTTTTGCATTTACTCAAAAAATACCTCTTTTGTTTTTAGAAAATTTGTAAATTTATCCTAATAGATAACAAGATAGTAGAAATCCTAGTCATTTAGAAAAAGTCATAAAAACGATATCTTTAGGATGCAGTAAAAGATGTTTGCGTGATGGTGCAAAGCTGTCCACCAAATTCTTCCGATATCCTCTTCCATTCTCTGTACGAAGACAGGGATTTTGTTTGTCCGAACAGTGGATTGCCACAACATTTGCAATCCTTGCAAGTTAGTCGATCTAACAAAGCCAATGCCACTCTTATTTAGGCAATAGGTTCGGGCATTGGCGCTCTATTGGGTGGGCATGCGGCCGATCAGTTTGGGAGGTTTGTCAAAGTAGATTCAACAGCATTGCTCCTGCTTAGCCGGAACAATCTACCTTACTCTAAATAGAACTCTTCATAGGTCTAAAACTTGATAAGTAAATTAAGCTTTGAAAATGATCCACCTGTCTCGAATGAGCACGACTTATGTGTTTTGTTATGGTCTTTATCGTTTACCTATCTAGAAAACTGATCACAAACACCGGTGCAATCTTGATGTGTATCGCGGGTCTTCTGGGAGCTATTTCTCCAAATTGGACCCTACTCGCGGTGGCCATGTTTGGAATGGGATTTAGGTAATGTTGCGATAAGCAATGTCTGGTTTGAAGCAAATGTGACGTGTAGTTGAAGGTAGATAAATGTTGCCGAGAATTTGGGCTACAATTCTCTCTATAACACTTGCTACTTTTGAAATAAATGAGACATTTTCCAGCTACTTTTTCAAAAAGTTGTCACTATAATTCGTTTCATGACAGTACTCCGACTCTTTAAAATATCCTGTATGAGACGATTTCATTTTCTATGAGACACAGTAATCTCATAAACTTGAAGGAGCTATTTACTAAGCAAAAGATTTCTTGTTTTCAGCTATGGTGTTCTTGTTGACTCTTCAATGACCCTCGCCAGTGAATCAGTCGGTCCAAAGTATCGAATCGTGCAGACTCTAGCATTTCAGTGGGCCCTCGCCATGCAAGTGAGCTCATTTTTTTATTTAATAGCCACTAAACTCAACCAGGGAAACGTGGCCCTGTAGCCTAATGGATAAGGAGTTGGTCTCCTTTAAAAATCAATATGGTTGGCCGGGGTTCCGAAATTAAGAACCACTAAAGTCCATCAGCACAACATGGCCCTGTGGCCTAATGGATAAGGCGTTGGTCTCCTAAACCAAAGATTGCAGGTTCGAGTCCTGCCTGGGTCGAAATTTTGCATTAACTCAAAAAGTATATCTTTTGGTTAGATAGTTTTAATATGGAAATATGGAAATATGGAAATTTATTTTATCATTTCTAGATAGCTGCATTTATTGCCTATGTGACGGGCACTTGGAGAATGTATCTAATTGTGATCAATGTGGCCGTGATTCCCGCACTGTTTTTGGTACCACTTTGGGTCGAATCGCCGAGATGGTTGATACAAAAGAGGAAATATTCTAAAGTTGGTTGAACTATCGTTTGTTTAAATGAAGTAATTGTCCTTTTCCAGAATGGTTTTCGCAAACAATCGTAATCTTGTTCCTAGTTTTATTCAATCTATCTTCTTTAAGAGTTTACAAAGGTGCCGATAGACAGGAAAGGTAAATAAATTGAATTAAACTAAAAAAACAAGACTACGGTATCTTTGATACGTTTTAGAAAATCATCTTGGAAAAGAACACTTACTTTATTACTTCAGAAAACTCTTTAATGTGCTGTAATTATTAATTATCTTAAAAATAATCTCTGAAATCGATCTGTAAACAATTTTCATGTCTTATTTAAGTCTAAATTGAGTGATTGAGTGCAAAGGGTTTTCAAATAGTGTTTTTTCTAAAACATATCAACTTTTAAGATTGCCGTAATCAAAACTACAACTACAAGGTGACTCATAATTATAGGCGCAGATAAAAAGCTTGGTAGGTAGACAAAATGAAACTTTAGAGAGCAAAGTTTTGTTTCAAAATTCTTATTTGATATCAATGAACAACAGATTAAGAATAAAATTCAAAGCGATCACCATTTTTCAAAGCGATCAGCCGAGCACGCTGTCAAGGGTTTAGGAAAGGCTTTCACGGTCAAGGCTTAGGAAAGGCTTTCACGGTTCACGGCTTTCACGATCAAGTAATCATCATCGAGTTCATGCTTTCAGAAGACTAAACTTTCAACATTTTTAATGGCTTTGGCCTCAAGGATGGACCAGACTGTCAAGCGTTTAGAAAATTCATCAGCTTGCGATCTGTCGAGCTGGGTGGCCATTCAGAAAAGAGATGAAATCGGGATACTTTGCAAAGATCTTGGACTTTTTTGGCTTTCTGGGACGAAGGCCCGTCTTCTTGAAATGTCCGAATTTGATTCTTAAAATCCTTTTATGCTCAGTGCAAAAATTCAGCTTTGAGGAGATCGAGATAGTTAATAATAATCGATAGTAAGCCACTGCACCTATAATTATTGGAGATTCTGTACTTGATCGTTAAAGCGTTTGTGATCTAGGCAGCTGAAAGCCTCAACGTAATGTCAAAATGGAATGGTGACAGTGTAACTTTCTCCGAAGACGATCTCAAAGACATACAACTAGACAAAGGAAATTTGTGAGAAGATATTAGAAAAACATAGCTGATATACTAATTCAGAAAAATCTACTCGATTTGGCACCTTTTCATGACGCGAAAATTGTTTCTTTACAGTATGGTGATGATTTTATCGGCGTTAACCGTTGAAACCACGGTAGCTGTGATCATTTTCGATGTGCAGGTGAGAAGGCTTCAATCTACACTCAAAATGGACACTTTAAAGTGATTTTGGAAAACTTTAAATGCAAATTCCAGACCCTAGCCGGTAATCCTTTCTTGAACATTGCTCTTTATGGAACCCTTCGACTCTGGGTACCGCTATTCATCATTTTCCTAGAGAAATATTCAAGCAAAATTGGCCGAAGATCTCTATTTTGCACTTCGCAAGGTTTATCATTTGATATTTTAATATTTCACTTTCTAAAATGCAGAAAAACTGCCGTAATCAAATTGCTTGTTTACATTTAATCAGCTCAATTTTGGTATGTTTTGAATCAACCAATAGAACCAAAATTGAGCTGGATTACGATAGCTTTCTAAACTGGATGCTTTTTCGAAAATCTCTTGTCTAAAATTTTGCCAAACTCTTCTTTTTTAGCTTTCACGACCATTTGTTTTTTCGCCTTTTTACTAGTACCTGTCAATTTGGAGTATCGAATGATGATCAAAACGGTTTTAGCTTTACTAGCAGGTTTGCAAAATAGTTATCAATTCTACAGTAAGTTCAGGAATCAGTAACTCGTCAATATTTTTCACTGTTTACAAGCAATACTCGATGGAACTCTATCCGACATTGATGAGGGCAATGGCTGTGGGAGCGTTTGGGGTCATTGAGAGGATAGGTGAGCGTTTTGAAAGAAGGAAAATCAGGAATGTTTGAACTGGATTCCTAGGGAAAGGGAAAGGACTAGGGAAAGGCGCGTACGCCGCTCCTATTCCTACTTTGCAAGCCGCAATCAGCTGCAAAATGCTACAAGTTGTTCCAAAAGAAAAAAAACAAAAACATCAACCAGGGACCGAATCCCGAATCCGAATGGAAGCCTAATGCTTTGTCCACTAGGCCATCGACGTACCTTTCCTAGTCTAGAAAGAATCCTTTTGAAGCATTCCTGACGCCAAATGACGCTAATTTGACTCTAAATTTTTGATTGATGTTTTACATGCCTTGAAAGTCGTTTGGCAGATTTTGATTTCAGATTCCTTTTCCTCATACCCGATTCTATAAAGTGCACTAAGTGTCCAGACAAATTTTGATTGATTTCGTGCTTTTTCCTAGTAAGACCTGTGAGGCATGACAGTTTAGACAAAGCAAGAACAGCCCAGAGCCAGACCAGAATCCAGGCCTAGGGGCTGGGCTTGGCATTGATTAGAACAAGGTCTCTTCTTTGCCTGGCCTGGTATTGATCATTAATAGATTGATGATTGATGAATAGATTGATAGATTGAATAGATTGATGTACCGGATTGGTTCATGCATAGCTGTTAACTAAAATACCGTACCAAAGCAAAAAGGTTATCATGTATTCCTGTACAACTCGTATTCCTTTTCAAAACTCAAATCAAAGTCAAGGTGGCGCCATGGCTCCTCAACTAGTTCATCTCTCGCGAACAATGTGGCCCGGATTCGGCGTACTGGTGGCTTCAGTTTTAGCACTAGCTAGTCTCCTAGCCGGTTGGGCAATCTTGCCAGAAACAAAGGTGAAAAATTTCTGTAAACTCTAAAATATTTGTCATTTTCCTGCACTGATCTAGAGTCACAAATAGATTTTTGGCTTTTAAAAGCTTGAACCTGAACTTTCAACAGCTTGAGCCTGAACTTTCCACTTTCAGAACGCAACAATGCCCGATACGGTGAGTCAAGAGGAAAAAGGAATACGTGAGGAAAGCCTTTAATAAATAAATTCTTATATATTTATTTACACAAAGAGCTAAATTTGATTAAGTAGATTTTATCGCAGAAACGTCGAATCACTGCGTTTCTTTTGACCGACTGGCTCGTCGTCGCGCTGGCCTCGAATGAGAATTTCCTGAAAGAAAATAAAAATTTAATAATTTAATAAGCGTCTTAGCTTTTATATTGTTAAGCAGTTAACAATTTGATTTTTAAAAAGTCAACTTCAAATCTGAAACCTGCGTCGAAGAAAGAACCATTCGCCCGTCTCGTGTCCACATCTTACCATGAATCAACGCTCGACAAGCCGCTGAAAATTGAACTGATTAAAAGTCTTAAACTAATATTAATATTAAGCCTTTATTTAAAAACCAGCTATCGTCGATTCTGTCTCATAAAGCACCCAATCGTCATCGATTTTGAAATCGTGATGATGAATCCACATTGAGTGATCAAGAGAGGCGGCCATTCCTTAAAGTTTACGAATTAGCTTGAGAGTTTAGTTTTTAATTTTCACAATTGTTTTGATAGAAGCCATGATTTCAAACTAGTGGAAAGGAATACCAGCTTAGCGTAAAGCTCAAAAATGTCATTGTAAATGCTTTATTGTGAATCAGATTCAAACAGGATTAAAGTGTTGATTGTCTGAGCATACCCAATCTGAATCCCTTCGCTGCATGAATGGCAATCGGGGTACCGATCGGCGCAATATCCGAAATGAAAGCCGCCACACAGTGATGGATATGCTCAACTTCTCCTGAAATTTGTTTGAAGTTTGTTTGAAGTTTGTTTGAAGTTCGAAGGTTTGAAAGGAAATTTTCAAGAAAAAATTTAAGCAACGCTTCTCTAGTATAGAAAGCTTTTTACCCAGAAGTGCATTGTTTTTCACCCAAACAGCGAATTTCATCGGCTCATCGAGTGCTCCCTGCACATAGGCACGCGGCTTGATGAATTTGATGCGAAAGGTTTTTGGGAAATCCAGAACCTGAAAAAACATTAACAAGAAAATGACAATATAATCTTGTTAACTTCTAAAAAACAAATATCTTTGACTTATCGTTAGTAAGAATCCAGGAACTTGGATAGGTAGTCAAATTTTGAAGGTAGCTTTGATATTTGGCTCTATCAAGCTCTATTTAATACAATTGAAAGCTTGAAATGCCTAACAATATAAAAAAGTTAACAATTAGGCTTTCAATCATTAAAAATGCTCAAATGCCAGACTGTGGGCCTTTGATACGCGCCCCATCCTTTTTTGCCATTGGCAATCCAACTTTGAACTCAAATATCTTGATGTTGGGCTATTCAATTTAAATAGTCTTTATACCAATCGACAGAGAAAGACTTGGCGCATCCAATGATACCAAGAACATTTAAATTGGATAGCCCAACATCAAGATATTTGAGCTAAAAGGTAGATTGTCAATGGCAGAAGGGGCGTATCAAATGTCCGATAGCCCAAATTTCAAGATCATTTCTTGTCTTACTTGTTGATAAGCTTCAGCAGCTCGTTGTCCTTCAACCGAAACCGTCTTTGGATCAGCAATCAATCTAAAAAGTCATTTTCAACAGTAGATTATTTTATTCGTTTAGCTTTTTGTTCGTTTTTACCTCCTGAGGAAATCCTGCGCATCCTCACATTCCTCTGGCGGTGGAACGTCGGGGATTCGTTGTTGATGAGTGATCGAGTCGGGCTCGATTTTCTAAAAAAAATATTGAACCAGCTCATAAACAACAAAATTTACTAACTATTGCACCTGAAACGAAATCGAAGAGCTGAAAATTGCTCGACCACCCTGCTTTGCTCGAACCAAACGAGTGGCAAATGAGCGACCGTCACGAATCCGAGACACCTGGTACAAGAGGGGACGATCGGCATCAGCTGGCAACAAAATAATTTTGCTTTATCAGTTACAGTAGTCCGAAAATTTACATTAAAAATGTATTCAGGCAAAAATTTGCTGAGTATTTATCCCTAACAATGAGGCCAATATACTGGCAAAGTCCTTTTATGGGTTGGGAATACAAAACGTGGTCGACGCACCCGAATCCACCCGAAACCGCGCCCTCTCGCTTGCCGGGCGAACACTCTACCAATCAGCTACGCCGGCATGAATCCCACTGCCGCCACGGTAAGGCTTTATGCTTTACTTTGGCCAAAGTTTTACTTAAATGGTCAAGACAATGCAACTCCAGAAACTTGATACTTTGTGATACAAAGAGGTTTTTAAGAAAGAATTGTAACACTAGTCAAATGCTGTAGTTCAAGTCGACTGAAATGGAAAAAAAGTTTGTAAAATAGAATATCCCACCAGCATACAAGAAGTTACAATGAAGACTGTGCGCTTTGAACTCCGAGTCGATTGTTCGATGTGCTGCCATCAAAGCTTGACCGACAACCTGAAGTGTTTTGTCTTTAATCTGGTTGTAAGAGTTCGAGAAGGATTGGATTCTAAGGCAAAATAAGGTTTCTAAAAGATGGATATCTTGGAAAACTCTTGTAATCAATTCTTTAGATCTGTCCGATACACTTTTTTTGTTCACTTTTGTTCACGATGAATCAAACTCTTAGGCTGTCCAGAAAGTCTTTTCGTTCCTTTTCGTATTTCCGTTTAATACCAACAAATGGACTATTTGAACAGTTTGTTTCACTAGAAAGAGCAATTATTTTCCTACAAAATAACATTAAAACGGGTTTAAAATGTCTTATGTCTGGATTTCTTTGGGAGCTTGAAGTCAGGCAGTCAAAAAGGCCAACGACTCGATGATGTGGCTTGGACACTTTAGCTAAGGAAACCTAACTTTGTGTTTTGAGCTATGGAAACCTATCTTTGTGTTAATAGATAAAAAATAGAGTACAAAAAGTTTGGTATATAGAAAAATTTTCAGAGAAATTCATTTGGCCAATTTCTTCATAGAGGTTTTTATAGATTTTTACAAAAAAACACGTTTTCATTCTCGAATTTGCGCTGAAAGTGAATCAAAATTGACTTAAAAAGATTGGAAATTGAACAATAAACACTTTTTATTTGAAGCAAACCATAGATTAATTGATGGATTTGTCATTCTTAAACGGAATTATAAAAATGAACGAAAAGACTCTCTGGACAGTCGAATATGAACCTAATTTAAACGAAAAAAAACCTGAAAGATACGGTAACTTTGTTTAACTTTAAGAAAGCATTTTACTTACAAGAATATACTCTTGATAACCTAAAGCTGTTCATTTTTTGTTTGTTGGTCAATTGAAAAGCGAGATTTGACCACAGCAACGCCAACTTTTTCTAGATTTCTAGAAAAAGTTAGAATTTCTACAGGACGGCAGAATTTCCAAATAAAATCCCTTAAAAAGTCTCTCTTTTGGTCTAAAAACCCTGAAAAAGTGACCAAATCGGGTCTTTTTTCCCGTTGTACACCTATTGGCGGTCAGATCAAAAATGAACAGCTCTACTCTAGTTACAACTACTGTTTTTCTAACCCAGGGCAACTCACCTGTCCACCATACACCCTATTGTGCGCTTTCCGGCCTCGTAGTTGATGTGTAGACCTAAGAATTTCAAAACTTTCATAAACTTTTAACATTTTACCGATAAAGATCCGTGTCCAACTCTTCTAGATCCAGAAAAGTGTTCAGCAAATCGGCTTTCTCGTCGAAATCCTCGTCTTCCGATCCGTTCTGTGGTTGTGTAGAGATTTCACTCATTTCCTCGACCTCCTCCTGCTCCATACAATTCAATTTTTTCAGCAAACTGCACATAAAATGTAAGAAAGTTGATAGAATTGAATTTAATGAGAAATTCTTCTCATACAAGCAAAGTTTAAGCTTTTTCCCGGGTGGCTTGCTCGTAATTTTTCTGATAAGGAAATTTTTCTTTGAACGAGAGAAACACACTAATAAATTATTTTTTTTGAAAATATGATTGATACAATTAAAAACAAAAGCAAAGATTAAAAGAAAGCATTTAAAACTTTATGAAAAAGCCTTGAAAGCTTTCCGAATCTAAATAAATTCGGGAAAAACCCTATATAACTTTACCCTGACTATGAGGTTTATGCAAAGAAAAGTCAATAGCTTTGAAATAAAAGTTTATAAATACTTTGAGAACCAAATTTTGCTAATTTTTAGTTTCATTCAAGTTCTATTACATGTAGGAAACTTTAATTGCTGTTTAAATCACTCACTAACTTTCTCACTTTAATTGCTGTTTAAATAACACAATGATTTTAACAGAATGTAGATTTGTATTAAAAATACAGTTAAATTTAAGGGGAAAATTGATCCCAGGAATTTGGGCATAGTGATGTCAAGAAAACTGGAAACCGACTCATAAGGGAATGACCAGAAGTGGGAGTGACCGTTTGGAAGGAGTCATACATCATTCGATCGATCTCATCATGAATATTGATAACCAAATTCAATTACATTCAAGTTCTATTACATGTAGAAAAGATTATTCAAAAATATTGATTCAGTAAAAAATTGCGGCCTCGTCAAGAAGGATCAAAAACCTCATTTTTGCTTCTTGTCAGCCCTATTTCTCGTTGTAGAGTTACTTTAGGGAGCTAGTATTTGTTGGTCCTCAATATTCATCATGAGATCTATCGAATGAGGTATGACTCATCCCAAACGGTCACATTCACTTCTGGGCATTCCCTTGTCAGCTCGCGAACGTTGATCGATTCAGGACCGACTAGACCTTATAGAATAGACCACGCTAATCACGATGCTGTAAAAATTAGTTGCGTAAAAAATGAAAATACTAGTAAAAAAAAGTTGCCAAAAACCAAAAAAGCGAGATACTTGGCTCTGAGATATTTATTCAAACTACAGCTATAACTATATTATCTTCAAAAGCGAGATACTTGGCCAAGAAGTTTTTGACTCGACAACCAAATATTAGGTGGTGGTCTAGTGGATAAGAGGGCGGTAGACAAAGAAATCTATTGGCTTTTTGCTTTTTGCTCGGGTTCAAATCATATTACACATATTTTGCTCAAT